TAATTATTTTTTTCTTGTTTGTAATAACAAAATCAACTAAAGGAAATCGAAAAATTTTATACTACAAACTTAACAATTTTTTAAGTGGAATTAATTTATTAACTTTTGCCATTTTAAATAGATTCCTTCACTTCGGTCTTACAGTAAAAATATTTTAAGAAATAAACAAAGAAATTTATTTTAAAACCCTTTATTTTCTTTATTTAAAATATTTAAAATAAAATGAAAAATTCTCAAAAAATAAAGGTATTTTAATGCATCACAGTGGAATGACGACTTTAAAATACAGTCAATGCATGCATGAATAATTTCTGCTTATTTTATGGTAAAATGGGATGATTATTAACATATAAATTTGCAACAAATACTGTAAATGAATGAAAAAAATTGTTGACCCAATCTATTTGATTTAGAAAATAATTCATTGTATACATTTGTGAATTCTTTTATCACAATTTTTCTTTTAAAACATTCAATGGAGTAAATAAATAACGTTGTTGGTATTTGTAAGTTATTCAATATTGTACTTAATTGGATTTAAAAAAAAATTATTTCAATATATACAGAAAATAAGGGCAGGATGATATTGTAATCAATCAAAGAATATCGATGGAAAATTAAAAAACGATAAATATACATAAAACCGTTCCAGAAGCTTTAGGAAAAATTTTGAATTAGTGAATTATGCGAAAATGTATTTACACTAAAATAAGTGAGTAAATCTTTGTGTGTATGGTAAGAAACTATATTGATGATGTAAACTTAAGGGATGTAAGAAAAAGAACGAAAGAAAAAGAGATATCTACGACATCTTCTACAATACATCAATACATAAAAAAACCGCCATGTCACATTGTTGATACAAATTGCAATTCACAATTATTACTATTTATGATATAATTATTATCTTGCATTGTCTAGTCATATGTTATTATTATATAACTAATATATTAATTATTAATTAACCTGTAATATCTAGTCGCATTATATGTTGCATAAATCTATAAAAAAATATTCAAAAAAGCAAAAATGAGAAATATGATGTAAATGTGTAATGTACGAAAATGAATTCATAACTGATAAATAAATACATGAGTGAAAGTAAAAAATGGGTGAAACATAGATATAGATTGAAAAAAGTATGTCTGTTAAATAGAAAGAACGGAAAATGACAAACTGTGAATGTATGCGATGGTAGGAGCTAACGGTTTACGAAGGAGGGTGGAAGGAAAAAAACATAAACTAATGTTAAAACATAAGGAAGATTTATGGCGATAAAAGCAAAAGATATACGAAAGAAATGTAAGAAAGGAAAATAAGGTATAGAAAGCTGGTGGAAGCACACGATTAATTTAGACATAATTTTATTGAAACTTAAATTTTTATACAAAAACTAGAACAAGACCTTTTCATATTATTACATATTGTTAAAGTGAATCTAAATTCATTAGTAAATCGAACAGATCAGGAATTCCAATTTATAAAATAATCGTAAGAAGTCAGTTATCGATTATGCATATTTGAGACAAGCTATACTAAAATGTTAATGGCGATAATTGATGTTTAATGAATAATAAAAATAAAGTTTTCAATAAAATTTCCATTAAAATCATTAGTGCGTATTTGTGGATATGCAAAGCTGTCAATGAGCGATAAGAAGAAACGAATTGAATGTAGTATGACATATTTGCAAGGCTGTAGGAAAGAATATATACTTCTGAAGTAAGATGAAATTTCGTTCGGGGAAAAAGTTTTGTTTCTTTAACAAAGAAAACAAGAATGTAAAAAGCATAAAAAATGTTAATGAACGCGTAGGTAATAGAACAAGAAAGATGAAAGCGAGGTGTATATCCAAATTAATAATTAATTTTCGAATGTCTAACCTCTCTCCAAAACAAAGTACTTAATCCTCTTTTTACTATAAGAATCGTGAAATAGGATGTCAATCATATAAAGAAAGCCCTTTTCCTTCCTCCCTTCCTACCTCTCGCCCGAGGAGAGCTTGCGGGCCCTATATTGCAATATTTGTACTTTTCCATGTTGAAACCTCGATATACAATAAATTATATTAACAAACTTTAATTAATTGTCTCATTTTTTCTATTTGTAATACATCAAATATTATTATTTTATATTCCTCTATATAATTTTAATTTCTAAATGCTTTCACTATTGTTTTCATTTATTAATGTATAATAAATGAATAATAATAATGTATATAATAAATAAAAAAAGAAGTATATTCATTCGTAAAATAATCAAGTTAAAATATCTGAAATTGTTTTCATTATAAATAAATTTCCTTTTTATTATAAATTATTTTTTGTTTAAGTTTTTGTTGTTAAAGCTAAATAAATTAAACCTGATTTTATGTTTAAACTCCAGTTAGTTCATTCATTTTTTAGTTTTATTTATTAAATTTCTAATTTTATAATTTTAAACATTAACACGTTTCATTTTTATTTATGTAAATTTATTAAAATATGATTATTACTTTTTCTAGGTAAGTTTAGAAATTTATAATTGTCTTAAATAAATTAAGAAATTAATTCAAATTTGTATTCAGATAATAAAAATGATATAAAAATGAATATTATATTTCCATTTACGTTTTCATCTATTTAACATAAACATATTTTATCATTTTTTCATTTGAATTATACAATTATTTTGAAAATTAAATTTCTTGATTATATTTAAAATTTATGATATATAATAAATAAAATTTATAATAAATAATTATTATTTTTAAATATATAGAATAATTAATTAGAAATTAATTAAATAAGCAAACAATAGGAAAAGCAAGTGTTATTTCAAGAAAAAGGATTTTTAATTTTTGTAATTTGCTGTAGGTAGATATTTTTTTAACTCAAACACGTTTGTAAATTTATGAGTTAAATATAAATGTATGATTTGATAATTATTTTACTTATCTTAAACAAGATAACTTTATATCTAGTCATGAAATTAAAAAATGTTAACTACAAAAATGGATTGGTTTCTCGACAATATTTGAAATCAGATTAATTTTGTAAATTTTATTTTATGAAATTGTGTATTATTATATTTTTTTTGGAAAATATTAAAATATTTTTTATTTTACAATATTGCCGAAGAATTGTTTGTAATCATTCTTAAAAGATTGACTTTTTAAACTATTATATTCGATTTTAGTTCAAATTTAATAACAATTTGTTGATAATATTAAGAAAGAAATTTATATTTATTACACTAACATAATATATTTGTATAAATTCATTTATTTCAATAAATTGAATAATCATAATATATAATCACGACTGTAAAAATGGAGAATTCTAATTTTTTTTATTAACTGCGTATCTATTATTAATTTTCAATCTCATAAAAGTAAACACTGTAACTATTATAGAATGCTGTATTTGTATATAAGCAGTAGGATCATCCTTAATGATACAATAAAAATACAATATAAATAAATTGTTATAGACTTTGATACGTCTGTATACATTATATTCATTTTTGGTAATTAAAAAAGGTTTCAACATTTATTTATTATCGCTAATATTGTACTGAATTATATTGCACTCCTATGTACAAATTTAATATTAAAATTATAATATTTCGTACCAACATACAAAATAGTTTTATGAAATGGATAACAGTAAAAGATGTCATGCATGAAAATATAATTTATGGAAAATACAGCAATAAAAACATTAATTGAAATTGATTAATAAAAATTAAATAAAATTTCCCAAATTAGTATCCAAGATTTTTACAAGTACAATGATATTCACGTATAACTACTGTATTTAATCATTGAAAATTGTGTTTCAAATAATATATTTTTTTAAAGAATTTTAAGGAAATATTAAGGAAAAGATTTCAGCAAGATTATCTTTCAAAAAATGAATTTAAGAAATATTTTTAAACAAAGAAATAAAAGGTTTGATTTTATCTAACCCGTGTCTTAATTTGATGAACTGAATTTGTAACATAATATAATAAATAAAGGCATACTATTTAGCTGGAATTATAAAATTTTTCTGTATGTTAAGTCTAAGGTGATATTTTGAAGCAAACAGAATCAGTTTCACATTAGCCGACATTTAAAATACTTTATCAAATTATAACATGACTATAGACTATATTTACGTTGGTTTAATGAAATTTTAACAAAATACGTAATTTATTATAAATATCAATTTGAGTAAATCCACATGTATATATTTAAGTTATATTATGGGGCACTAACATATAAATAAACCTATTTATTAACATGTAAAATGTTGTAAACACCGCTTTAAATTTTAATAAAACAAGTATTGTTAAAAAATATGACTTTTTTGTTATTTAATAATTTTATATAACTTAATGTTAATAAACAATATCTTAATACCATCATTATAATTAAAACCTAATAATTTGATAAAAAAAGTATAGTTACACTGTATAAAAATGACTCATAAAATCGAAATGGTAAAAGTTGTTAAGAAAGAAATTTTATTATTTTACTACTTTGAATTTGTTACTATATGTTTATTAATACATTCGAAGTAGATATATAGATGCATTAATTTATGAATAATAAAAATTGAAAATTAAATATAGAATTATAAAGTATAAAATCTAGTTTTAATTTCATAATTACAAGTAAATTTATTAGTTCCTAAAGAATTATTTTGGTTATCAAACAAAATGATTTTGGTAATAATATGAAAATTATTTTTTACATATGTCATTAAATACATTTTTTAAAGTTATAAAATGTTAGTAAATTTACTCAATATGATAAGCAATTTTATAAATTTATTAAAAGTAAATGCAATTTAACATTTTTCCCATAGAATAAAATAATCATTATTTTAATTAGGAAATTTACTTGAATAAAATATTATAATAAATATATTAAGACAATGGAATATAAAATATAATGAAATACAAGGAATGAAATATATAAAAATGTGTTTAAATGTAATTTTATTTCCAAAGATTTTTGTGCATATAAATTTTGATTATTTCTTTTTTTTTGGAGCAAATTCCAAACCCTTTATATGATTTTTATTAATATGATACTTTTCTGTAATAAAATTATTCATATAATGAAATCAACATAAATTTGTATAATAAAATAAATGAATAAACATAAATATTATAGTCTGTCAAAGATTTTGCATTATTCTCAAGCATAACGATTTACATCATTAAAATTTAAATATAATTAAAATATACCACTTTTTATAATTTATGAAATAATAAAATTGCAAAATATGTTATAATTGATTTATATTTAGTAATGTAATTCTTATCTTTCAAACTATTATACAATGATTTACAAAAATAATAATATTATAATGAATATTTTGGAATAAGAAAATCATAAATAATAGTGTATTATTTTTAAAAGAAAAAATTTACCTGACAATAATTTATATACATATAAAACTTGATTGCCTTGAACTAATACACTTGGTGTTTTTTTCCCTGACACATTAGTGATTGTAGCACTTGCACCTATCACTTGGCATTCTTTGCTAAAATCTTCAAGTTTAATACCAAAAGTTTCCAAATTATTAATTAATGTAACCTAAAATTAGAAGATTTAAAATTGAATCAAAAGTTTTACAGAAAATTATTATTATACCTTTTTACAGTGTGATCTAGTAACTACAGTAATATCAATAGGCTCTAATTTTCCACTGTGAAGTATTTTATTTCCTGCTACAGTGATTTCATGTGTATGGGTCATTTTTCCAATAAACTTATTGATACCATCTTCAATTGTTATGTATTGTTGATTTTCTTTTGTGCGTAAAACATCAGCAAGTTGCGGATTGATTTTTACTAATCTATAATAAAAAAACATAAAGTTTGAAATTTCAATTATACAAATATTAATTTTATAAATTCTTTCTTACAAATAAAATTTAACTTACTTTCCATTTTGAAGATTTTCAATCTTAATATACTCAGTAAAACACTTTCGAATTTCTGGTCTCCTTATAATGTCACCTTTTCTGTAATATACATTAAACATATACACTAAATATAAACTAAACTTTTCATGCAACTTATTTTTTTTAAATTTTATAAAATAATTACTACTTACTCATATCCAAATTTAAAAAGAATGGGTACTACAGGTGCTGTTACTCTGAAACATTCAGATATTACGGGAGCATTAGACATTTCAGATTCTTTACTAACAGATTCTTCCATTACAATAAAATTTTGTATTAGTGGGTGATCATACTGCAAACAAATAATTAAATTAAAAAAATAATATTTTATGAGAACAAATGCAAATATTTGATATAATGCTTACTTTAACTGAAAGTAAAGTTTCAACACCCTTTAAAATTGAAGTTTCTATAAGACCTTTTGCTTTCATATTAGCTAAAAAAACAGACAATTTTTTGTAAGATGATTTTTTAACATCAACAGTACTTCCTGTTGGACATGCACTAATAATATGATTTTTAAAAAATGTTGATGTAATCAAAGGTAAATCTTCTTTTTTTAAACTAACTTTACAAGCCTTAAAAAAACAATATTCTAATAATTTATCCATTTTTTGTAAAGGGTATATTAATTCTTTTTTTTCATTATCATTGAGTAAATCATTTGACAGAGAATTAGATTTTAAATCATTTACAGCAGCTTCAATGTTGGTTTCATCATTTTTATTTGTAATTATGTTTATATTATCAATATCTACAGACACTCCATCAATATCATTTGCAATCTGTCTTTGTATACTAATTGTACTTTCGTTGAAAGATCTAATCTTAGATTCATTTCTTAAAAGTGTAGGTGGTCCTAATTTCGGTCTGACAAGTGGTTTATCAATATTATAAAGATAATCACCTATTACATGCACAATATCCACACATTTTCCAGAACCTGCTGACATATACATATCTTCACTAGATCTAGCAGTAAGACCAATTGCTATAGGAGCCTAATTAAATAAATTAACATTAGAAAATAATTTTTTATATTAAATTTTATAAAAGTAATCAAATAATTACCACATTATCATCAGTAATTATAGATACTAAAGCACCCTTTTTTAATTTACCATAGCAATGGAAATTTGAAAAATTATCGACAACTACTCCAGGTAACATTAAATTTGCACCATTAGCTAATTTAGAAACAATAGGAGATTTGATTGTGTAACTATAAAGTAAATTTGGATGATGCCACAATGTAAATAAAGTTGGAAATAATTCTGATTGTGAATTCAATTGAAAAAATAATGGAACTTTAGCATTGCAATAAATTTTTCCCATCTCTGCATTATGGGTAATTATTTTCAAAATACTAACTGATTCCTTTTTTGGTAAAAGGTTTTTAATTTCTTCATTTTTCAAAGAAGGAAAATTTTGGCCAACTTCATCACACAATTTTTTTCTATAAAAATTTTAATATTGGAATAAATTTATTATTAAACTCAATTTAGTTATAAATTCAATTAAGTAATACAATGAAATAATTGTATTTCATTAATTAAAAATTGTTTATAATTTTGTTTATCATACCTTTCAGTTTCTTTCAATTGATTATTTGACCTAATTTTAAAAGGCTTTATAAACATCTTCTTATGAAGGTTTTAAATAAGACTATAATTATAAAATTAAACAATAATTATATGTATTTCAGTAACAAACAAGTTACGTTGAATTTAATATACTACATGCAAGTTATTTCTTTATTTTACTATTTACATTAACTTTTATAAAAACCGTATAATAGTAAAACTGTCAATTTACAATTTTTATTAATAAGATATCTATAGAATATAAGAAATTGAAGGTTAATCCACTGATTTTGTAGTGGATAACTCATCCAATATTTTCTAAAGTGACAGGCATATTATTATGAGATTAGGGTATAAAACGCTATCCAAGCATAACTCCACGAATTTTCAAATTTCATAAAAAAATATAAATTAAATTAAATAAATTAAATATAAATTAAATAAAAATTACAAGTTCATGTCTTTGTAAGCCATAAGTATATTACTTTCTTTTTATAAATTATAAAATTTACTCTACTCTAAAATTTACTTTTAATAAATTAGTTTTTCAAGCATACATTGCGCATGCGTAAGGATTCTTATGAAAAACTTACAGATTGTGAGAAAATAATTTAATATTAGCACATAGTAATTATGTTAAAGATGATAATTTTAACAAATATTTAATATATAATGATATTCTTTAATAGATATTTTGTATATTTTCTATTTCAAATTACTCTATAAATAGAATTTTTAAGATCATTATTTATGGTTTAATTATTTACATAAATTATATAATAATAAAAGTTTACTTTTTTAATCACATAATTAAATAAAATGGTTCAAATACAGTTCTCAGACAATCTTTTATTTCTAAAGATTTGAAAGATTTTGTTTATAAAAAAAAATGGAAATTTAATTAAAAATCATATTTGTAATTATCTAGTATAACGAACAAAAAAAATTGATTACGATATAACTAATATATTGTAATTTAACCCGAAAACTGTTTGCCTTTGTGATAATTCAGTGGCGATGCATGTGAAGCATAACAAAAGAACCATTCGTTCACTAAACTTAAAAATAGTTATTAAAGCAATATAAATATGTAGATTTTAAGAATTTATGTTTATTATAAAATTAAATACGTATAAAGGAATTTTAATAAATAGCAATGTACTATTTGTTAATATACTTTTTTTAAGTTTAGTGTACGAATGGTTCTTTTTTATGCTTTACATACATCGCCACTAAATTATCACAAAGGCAGTTTTCGGGTTAAAATACGTTGCAGGCATTCAAGTTGTTCTTGATTATAAGCAGATAAGGAAATGTCTTCGCTATACTTTGCAAATATTAAAAATATTTTTGAATAACAAGAAGTGAAAATGTAAACTAAATACTGATAAATAGTGCGCTTTTGGAAGTTTCTGAAAAGAAAATAGATTTAAAAAAAACTAAGAAAAATATAAAATAAAATTTAATATTAAAATAACTTAAAATTTATACAAATTAACAGAACAAAAATTATTTGGATACATAAATATACCTATTTCTATACAAATCAAATTGTGAACTGTAATCAACGATGATTACATAATGATTACTTAATGATTTGTTTAAATATACATATTTTAATTTTATTTAATGCAATTTGTGAATTGAAATCAATAAGTTTACTGTCAGCTATATAAATGTGTATATAAAACAATTTTTAGACGATAATAAATAATTATAAAATTTTCTACAAAAGATTAAAAAATAATGTAAATATAATAATTTTAAATAACATTCTCATTAGTATATTTCTTGGGTTAAATGTATTCTAAATTACCATAATATACTTATTATATAATGAATTTTATTCAGCAGATTTTGATAAAAACCTTCTTATGTTAAAATGAGTAAACCTTTTTTATGGTAAATAATTTCATGAAATTCTTGTATAGCTGAATTACAATTAGCCATATACAAAGTAGATAGTTTTTTATTTAGTGAATACAGTATACACACACACACACACATATATATATATATATATATGAAAAAGAAGGGGGCAACTAATTTTCATAAATATATAACGAAAATATATAAAATTAAGTTTCCTTTTAGAATTTTGAAATTTTATAAAACATTATCAAGAAGATAAGATAGTTTCTTCAATACAATAAAGTAATAGTAATAAGTATAAGGAAAATGAAAAATATTAATGAAAAGTATGTATAATCAAGTTATCTTTAGAAATTCAACGAGTATGAATAGAATTATTTTTTTGTAACAAATTTTTATATTATATCATATTAATAATTGATTTTAAAAAATCATGCCAGGCATCAATAATTTAAAAAATATCATTTTAAAGACATAACATATACAATAATAAAATTTTTATTTGTATTCATCGATACCATTATATAGTAAAAAGTTATAACATATATAAACTAAAAATACAAATATTAACTCTTCCACAATGCTATACACAAATTATATTGGGTGTACAATTGTTGACAAAGACTTGAAATAATATTCTGTCATTCTTAAATAACTTAGAATTTGTAATTTTATCAAAAATTGGTAATATTTTTATGAAAGTCCAGAACAAGTGTCATAAATTATCTGTAGACATTACTATACATATATGAAGAGTATTGAAAAATGAAATTGGATTTCTAAAAACATTAAACTATTCAATAAGTTGATGTATTTATTAAATTCATATATTTTAATTAATTATGTGTATGTCCAATAATTAGATGTGAAGGTTTGATGAAATTACTTGCAAATACATATCCCTTTGTGCAAAGAGACGAAATTAAATGAATGATGTATGGCAATATGATAAAAAGCTAAAACTTATAATAATATGAAAATAGAAATTTGTACATAATTTATTGTTTTTCATCATGTGGTTATACACTTCCATAACAGTAAAAAATACTATATTTATCTTTGATCCAAGATATAAAAGCAGTTAGTAATAGAAAGGAGGAAACGAAAAATTATATTTTCTCCTATATTAAGTACAAATTAGTTAAACTTCAATCTTTTGTATTCTATATTAAACATCATAATATATATAAGTAAGAATATTTAAAATTTTCAATATTTAGTTAATAAATATATGATTGAAATATATTATATCATAGATAGATTAAATTATATGATAGAAATATATGATAAAATATTTTTATTTTCATTTTTGTGTTATAAAATATTAATAAAAGTTGCAGAAAAATATTCTTTAAAATAAAACTCAATAAATGATTCTATTAATACAAGAATAGAATATAAAAGTTCTGCAAAATAATATTTATTGAATTAATGACAATAAATTGATTTCTTTGTTGTATACTAATTTCATATAATCATTTCAAATTTTTAATTTTAACATTTATTAATCAATATTCAAAAAAAATCACTGAATTTTTGTGAAGGTATTTAAATCTTAGGAAAAAACATTAACATGATATATATAATGCATATGATAACATTTATATAACTATTAAATGCAATTTCAATCATAAAGTTAAAAACACTTATAACAAATAAGCTTGTAATAGAATGGATTTATAACGTTATATTACCTTGCTTGGGAATGTCACGACCACCCTTTATATTAAATTTACAAGATGCTCTAACTCTACTGACAAGGAATTAAAAATTAAAACAAAACAATTATTATAATGAACAACTTTATTTATTTACGCTATATCGATTTTAAACAACTATATTTAAAGAAATGTGCTATTATAAAATATAAAATAAGAGTTAATAAAAGCACAATGGTCCAGCATAAACATAATATCAATATATTATAACATATATAGATATATATCTGATAATGTTAATAAAAAAATTTTAAATGACTTGTATGGTTTAACAATAAGGAACTTCATAAAAAATTCAAAGAACAGCGTGGTAGAACTAACGTAATTTAATTTTAAGATTAAAAAAAACTAATTATATATGCTTGTTAATCCAATATAGATAATGTTATTCTGAAAAAATACATTAGTTGTTAAACATATCCACCTTTTTAAAAATGATAACAAATAGCGTTGTTAAGTCCTTTCAATACTTCGCCCTATAGAAATCAAGTTCGTATAATACAGAAAAATAGATAAAGTTGAAATAACCATTTTACTATTTTATTTAAATTTAATTATTATTGATTGTAATGTCCATAGGCCACATTAAATACTTGTACATAGCAGAAAAGTTTAACCTTGCAGATATATATTAGATATACAAAAGTAGATAGAATGTATAAATATATAAAAATATAAAAAGTAACATTAAATTTTACATTCATTTAAACTTTAAAACTTATTTTAATTGTAATATTAAAAATAATTTTTTTTTACATTTTATTTATTATAAACATACGATTTTAAAAATTTTAGAAAGACACTTGTTTGGTTGTTTACAATTAAAAAAATTAAATATATATTTAAAAATATATAACTATACAATATTGTTTATTATTATTTTTATAATACTATATACACTTTTCTTATTTAAATCTGGTGTAATTTTGTTTTTAACTTTTTTAATGAATTGATCTTATTTTTCTGCTTGTTTATGCTATTTAATTTTTTCACTTTTATATTATTTTTTGTTGGTATTTGAATAATCTAGTAGTATAATGAAAAAAAGATAAACAAAATTTTCATCATTATTATATTATAGAGTTTTATTAATAATTTTATATATGTTATGTCATTTTTTTTGCTTCTGGCTCTTCAATATTATTTGCTGTATTTAATCTTAATAAAAATAGATAATCTTATTATAACTGGATACATTTTTTAAAACATTTGAAACTGTCTTAACAATGACAATGTAAGTCTTTAATATTATTATGATTTGATTTTTTAACAAAATATATGTATATTTATATTTTTCAAATCTTAAAATTATTTATTTATTACAAAAGGAATAAATATTAATATTAAAACATTTAATTGATAAAAAATTATAATAGAATGAATACAATATAAAAGTGAATTTTTAAAGAATCAAATATTAATTAAAATTTGTAAATAAAATAAAATAATTTAAACAATTATTTTTTATTTCAAGTTTGACATTATGTATATACAAATAAAATATATTATTAATTATAAAAAGTTTTAAATCATATTTAAATTATTTACATTTATAGTTACATGAATAATATAGGAAAAAATGTTGAGTAAATAATTAAATCATGTAGAATGAAGCCTTAAAGTATAAACAAAAGAAATGTAAAAATTTTTTTTTATAAAAATGTGGTATATTTATATTTATTTCTTTAAATGGCATGTACAATCGCTGACATTATGATTGAATCTACACAAATAGCTATTTATACTAAATCCTCCTTGAACACCAATAAGCTCAGATCTTACTACGCATGCTTAAAAAGACGTTTGTCTATGCTTTTTAACTCGAGTTGAAAATCTATACGTTCGCGAGTAAATTGGGTGATGATACTGCATCATTTCAATAATGACATATTAAAAGCTGGTGGAAGTAGATTACTTATATTGTGAGTATAATTACATTAGTGTATATTTTTTATTAAAGAAATATAAAATATATTTTTCAAGGAAAATATTTAATCTATTTAAATAGTACTAATAAAATAACACAAAAATAAAAATTGCGAGGTTATACAATTAAAGAAATTAAATATTTCAAATGTTATAAATTAAAAAAATTATGATCTTTGTTTTGCTTCATTTGTTTAATTATTATACATTTTTTATTTATAGGTGTACTAAGTTCTTTAAATAATCATTATTATGGGTGTTCAAGGAAAAAATATAGAGGCTATGGAAGTTGAAATTACAAATCCTGAATCTAATAATAGTGAAGGTGATGTTGGTGAAAAGAAGGATCTTGATCTTATAACTATTCATGATCTTCGAGAACATACAAGACAAATTGAGAAAGCTGTTCAAAATAAAGAACCAAGATTTATTTTAAGAGCATTAAGAGCTTTACCTAACACAAGACGTAAATTGAATCCAATTGTTTTACGTGGTATTATAAGTGGATTTTATACAAAATCAGCAACAGAGAAGGAAGCTCTTTTAGGATGGATTGAAGAACCAATGGATATGGAAGGTACTCAAGCTGTTATTCAAAGGTTTAGAAGTTCTGCTATACCTTTATTACCAGAAATCGACTCTTATATTCATTTACTTATACTTGTAAGATTAATTGATACAAAGAAATATAAGGAAGCTGTTCATTGCTCCGAAGCTCTTATTAAAAAAGTCATAGCTCTAAATCGAAGAACAATTGATTTAATTGCTGCTAAGTGCTATTTTTATCATTCAAGAGCTTATGAATTAACAAATCAATTAGATAAAATTCGTGGTTTTCTTCATCTTAGATTACGTACAGCAACACTTCGTAATGACTTTGAGGGTCAAGCTGTTCTAATAAACTGTCTGCTACGAAATTATTTACATTACAATCTTTATGATCAAGCAGATAAATTAGTTCTAAAATCCACTTTTCCAGAAACTGCTAGTAATAATGAATGGGCTCGATTTTTGTATTATTTAGGTAGAATTAAGTCTGCAAGATTAGAATATTCAGCTGCTCATAAATATTTAGTGCAAGCTATGCGAAAAGCACCACAGTCAACAGCAGTTGGATTTAGACAAACAGTTCAAAAACTTGCAGTAACTGTAGAACTTTTGCTAGGTGATATACCAGAAAGACAAATTTTTAGACAAGCAGCTTTAAGAAGAGCTCTTGCACCATACTTTCAACTTACACAAGCTGTACGACTTGGAAATTTGCAACGTTTCGGTGAAGTACTAGAAAATTTTGGGCCTCAATTTAGATCAGATCATACTTTTACTTTAATTTTAAGATTAAGACATAATGTGATTAAAACTGCTATTCGTTCTATTGGTCTTTCTTATTCTCGTATTTCACCTGCTGATATTGCTAAAAAATTAGGGTTAGATTCAGGAGTAGATGCAGAATTTATAGTTGCCAAAGCAATTCGTGATGGTGTTATAGAAGCTACACTTGATCCAGAAAATGGATATATGAGAAGCAAAGAAACAACAGATATATATTGCACACGAGAACCATTACTTGCTTTTCACCAGAGAATAACATTCTGCTTAGATTTGCATAATCAAAGTGTTAAAGCTATGCGATATCCTCCCAAATCATATGGCAAAGATCTTGAGTCTGCTGAAGAACGTAGAGAAAGGGAACAACAAGATTTGGAATTAGCAAAAGAAATGGCTGAAGAAGATGATGATGGATATCCATAAATAAAAATTATAATAGTTATTAAACTTTGTTTCCATAAAAAAATTTGATGGTTTACTTAATTTTCTGTAATTATTGTATATTAATATAGTTGAAATTTTTTTAAAGCTTACAAAATAAAATCTTAATATACAATTTGTCTTTTATACATTAATTGAATGAGTGCCAAAGTTTAAAACAGAAGAGACAGGCTAATAAATAATTTGAATAGGTATGAATTAGTATTCATTAGGTATTAATTAGAATGAACACTTAAATAAATTATACTAAAAAGAAACAAGGCAATGGTGCAATGTTTCACCATTTACCATTTCATGTTACATTGGTATTAAACTGGACCGTATTTGAGATTGCTATTATATAAGCCATTATTAGTGTCTAAATAGTTAATTTTAATAGTAATCGTATTCAGCTTTTATCTATTTCCCCATTCTTCTTATTTTTCGATATAATTTGTTTTTTCTTTTTCCGTTAATTTATACCAAATACTTAAATATGACTTCCTTTTATTGTTTCTTTTTCGCATTTTTTCCATTTCTTTTAACAATTACTGACTATTTCTTATAATTAACTTCGCGTTTCCAATGCATTTTTATAAAGTTTGTCAACATTACTTTTCAATACTTTCAATACTTAATACGAGAAAGAAGTAAAAAGGTATACGTTGAAGTTATTTTTTTCTATGGATAGTTTTTCATTTATTTATAATTTTGCTTATAGATCTTATAAATGTAATGGTAATTTTATTTTCGATTCGAATACTTTTTGAGTTTGTTAACTTTAGATTATATATATATTAAATCGAGTAACATGGGTAACCTGCGGAATTTTTTGTCCAGACGACACAAGTGTTTCTGGATTTGTCACTGCTCTTACAAACTGATTAATTTCTTTTATGCTAATTATTCAGTTGATGTTATATGATAGACCTTCTTGGAATTCAAGAATTATTTATCACCGTTTGGTTACTTATATTTCTTTTAATTAAACTCTTTATCTACTACTGTATCAGGCCCGCAATATAATGTATAACTATTGACCATAAACTCAATTTACAACCACTGTTATCTGTTACAATTAGTGGTTCAATAATGGATATAGGAACCCAGACTTTAAAATGATAACAATTTGTTCTGGACATTATATAATTATAAATGTATTTTTAATTAATATTTGTTGTTTTATCTACTCCTGGAAACTCTACAACTCTATAAGTATCAATCAACGATATATTTAATTTATTTCAATTTTTATTGTTTTCATGAAAATAAAAAATATAAAGATCCTTAATTATAAATTTCTGACACGAATTCTTACCATTTTTATGCATTTCAGTTAATATAAAATTACTAAAAATTTGTAAGAATCAACTTCGTTTATACGCTACAGGCTCAAATATCAAAATATGTTGCACATTACATAGCCCTTTTAAACATTATATTAGATAATATGATAAATACTAACTTTTGACATTGTATTCAATTTATAAGGAACAAAATAAAATCAATAGATTACGTTTTTGTACTGTATTATGATTATCTTAATCTGATAAATTTTTTAATTTTAATTAGGGAAGTATTATTGTTTAGATCTTTAACAAAATCAAGTAATCTTCGGTTGATTATACTTATTGAATGATAGAGTTTAATCTCATTCAAATGGATCTCGAGTACAATAAAATACACATATAAAATCAGTTGCTGCTAACCCGATTATGAAATTTCCTGTTTTCTCCCCATAAATATCTGTAACAGATTTTGTTAATGCATTCGTCTTGTAGCATTATAGGCAGCTCTTCGTATTTGACAGAAAAAGAACTATCTTTCCTAGGAAGTGATTTAATGTATATTGTATTTCTATCTAAGAAGTTTCCTCGGTTATCATGGAAATCAATCAGATTTTTGTATAGTGTTGGAATATATTGAGGTCTTATACAACCCCAATATTCTATTATTTATTCTAAATAATTTTATTAGTATTTTTCTTAATTACGCATACTAGAAGGTTTTCAAAGGATATTCTCTTCGCTTATTGAATTTTCAATTATTCCTTAGTATTCTGAATTCTTATAAAATAATAACGACGGGTACACAAAAATTGTAATTATGCATGAGTTCTTTTTTATCTTACAAAACAGCTATCTAAGCTTCAAATAGTCAATCTTAGGAGTATCAATCTTTTCTTGGAAGCGGCAAAACAACAGCAGAAGTCTGTTTAGCTTGCTAATTTTTTTTATGATTAACAATATTTAAAACAGAGCAAATTCATTTAGTAAGTTATTTACATGAAATGGTATCAACATGTAACATCGTTTTTTGACAAAATTACTTTATACTATATTATAAATACTCGGGAGTATATTTTTTGCAGTTAAATACGGTAAAAGTAAATATACGATTTTTACGTTTGTAGTCTACTTTCCAGAACTATAATTCATACTTTTTGTATTACTGGTACTATTCTGTATAAGTATTAGATGCAATTTTGTTTTTTTTATTATATCTCAGGTTAAATGTTTCTTTAAAGCTGATTGAATACAAAAGATTTTCATTTGTCTTTCTTAACGAAAGCACATATTTCTTAGTTTTTTTTTATCTTTTACAAAACATTGATTCTATTAATATTTATTTACATATCTATTTATTATTTCTTGATTTACTATGAACTCAGTATTATTATATAAATTAATTTATTAAATATATAACTAAATATAATATAATTATACTTATTTATTATCATTACAATCATTCTTTGATATGAACTTATATGCAGCAAATTTCTTGTAGATAAAATTATCGGTACGTTATTAAATTTAAGTAATTTTTCAATTCTCAGATATTTCATATTTAACTTCCAGTATTTTTATATTTTATATTGTTTGATTTTATATTTATTAAATCTGTTAGTTTTTGCATTCTCTTTACTTCTAATTAACATTGTGATTTACTCTATTCTGTTCTAGTTTTTTTACACCATATCCTTTATATAATCCTGAATTTTTTACTTACTGCAACGAATATTTGATTATTTTACATATAACTGTGTTATAAGGATTTGAGAGAAACCTACCTTTTTACATTATTTTTTTGTTTAATCCCATAGCTGTCATCATTTATCACTTTTTATTTACTATTCTAGATGAATTTAAATAGCTATAGAATCAAATGGTATTGAAGTGTTTATGATACATTATATATTTCTTTCTTAAAATAGTAAAAATGTAAATAAGTACAGATTGTACATAGTTTTGAATGATGTAAACGATTTTATGTTGCAGATGTAAATTTTATATATCTTTATTTAATATATATTTTTTATTTATAATATTTACAATATTTAAATAAATAAATATTATATAAATACAAAAATAATTTACTAAATATTGATGTATATATGAGAATAATTAGAAGATATTAAATGTCACATGCCTAATAAAGTTATAGTAAATAATATCGTAGTTTACTAATTATAATTTTATTTTTAAGAAATGATAAATAAGATACAATTTCTGGATTTTTTACGAAAAAGTATAAAAAGGTCATTTTATGTAACTTACAATTGAATTTGCTAAAAATTCTAGATTTTAATGTCTACGTTTTGACTCTAGATTGATTAAATATCATAAATTCTTTATTTACTAAAATTAGTTTCACAGCTTTTAATATTATAACGCAAACGTCACGTTGTTTATTTTTATGTGTATTATGATAGAATTTTTTTATTTGAAATTATTTAATTTTTAAATATTGAGAATAATAAACCTTTAAAATATTTTTAAATTATCTAAAAATATTATGTAATTCAAATTTTGTGTTATCTGATATTAGAATTGATACAAATTATAATTTGCAATTTCTTAATTTTTTTGGCGACATTTAAATAAATAAAATTTTATTTCAAAATGAATTTTAGAAATATTAATACATTTTTTCCAAATTGAACACCATATGTAACAACGCGAACAATTAATTAGGCTTTCAACAGTGAAAAATCTAGTCAAAATAGGTTAAATGGAGCGAGTTCAAATACGTAACTTCTATGAGGAATATGAAAATATAGGAATATTTACGACTGAAAAAACAAAAATAATTTGTTTCTAAATTATATGTATTATAATTGCTTTCAGTTATATGAATATCTGCAATAGAAAGATAGAAAAAGTGAGAAATATTACAAAAAACGAATGAATACCAAAATTTGTTAGCCATTAGTATTCTTTTCATCTATATATCTAACTAGGATTTATATTGAAGGAAAAAATTAATCGCAGACCTGTTAACTGATATCTCATTTGCGCATGATTAAAAAAGCGCACTATATTCTCCTATCCACATCCAATTTTCAGGTTTTGGGCTGTTTACATTAGTTCCGCTATAAACACATTAAGCCTAAATATATTTTTGGAAAACTTAGTATATTATCGATAGTATCAATCATATTTAATACAGAAAATAAAAAATTTCGACAAATATATTTTTAAAGATGTCAGTTCAAAAATTAAATACGAAAAGATTTAAATGGACTTTAGATTTTTCTTATAAGTATATATTATATATTTTTTTTATACTTGTATAAAGTATCATAACCTTAAAATAATATTATTTATACTTACTGTTAGTTGAATTATCAATTAATTACTTTAAAATATTTTTTTAAGAAATAAACAAGAAAGAAGCATAGAGTTAGCATCACCACCAGGTTATACACACGGAGTTGCTCTTGTTCATAGTACTGATCATTCTCGAGAATCTCATTCAAATCATTTAATAATTAAGAAATCATGGGATCTAGCTCTTGGTCCATTAAAACAAGTACCAATGAACCTTTTTATCATGTATATGGCTGGAAATTCTATATCTATATTTCCTATTATGATGGTTGGCATGTTAATTATAAGACCAATTAAAGCTCTATTTACATTACAACAAAGTAAGTTACAAAATTCTTATTTCGAATAAAAATATATCTGGTTTTGTAAATGTAATTAAAACAAAATTTTGGTTACTTAATTTAAAAAAGAAAGTATTGTTTTTAATATATTAAGTTATAATTGTTAAATTTGTTTATAATTTTATAAAAATATTAATTTGAAATAATTTTATAACTTTATAGCATTTAAAGTAATAGAAGGTACACATGCTTTTGGTCAAAAATTTGTATTCTTCTTAGGCCAGATAGTAAATATATTTTTAGCACTTTATAAATGTCAATCAATGGGTTTATTACCAACGCATGCATCTGACTGGCTTGCATTTGTAGAATCTCAAACAAGAGTAGAATATTCTGGTGGAGGTTTTAAGTACACATAATTAAATATATAAAAAATAAAATTATAATGAAATAAATTATTCTTAAACCTACATTTTGAATTATCTATTTTATAAATGTATACCTTTATAATAAAGTTAATTTATATTATAATTATTTTCTGATTAATTATATTAATGATAGTCATTTTTTTTTGTAATCTTCAGTAAATTCTTTTAATCGTATAATTAGTTTCCCAGGTTGGTCAACACGAGGTATCTGAAATGATTTTTTTATGATTTTTTTATATATTTACAATATTGTTAAAAATTACCTCATAATTTTGACTTAAATAAATTCCAGCATAAATGCCAATTCCAAGTGTAAACTGAAATCGAAATCAATATGATAAAATATATTAATACATTATTCAATCGCTTATAATCTTTTACTAATACATACTAGAAACTTGAACATTGTAAATACAATTTCGACAATAATATAAGGGATATTATACGCGTATTTACTTATATATTTATGAATATGTTCAAATCATACGATAAATCCTAAGTAAAATATAGTTTTCTTATTTAAATGTCAATTGTTAATTTATTTAGGTTATATTTTTGGACAAAATTTAAATCCGTTATTTGATAGGTTGGCTTTTTTGTAGTTTTGGAAATCGTATAAGATTCATCATATTAAATGGAAGACTATACTATTCTTCAATTATTTGTAATTCATGTTCATTTATTCTTACGCGTAATTGCTGTTCATTCCATTTCCTTGTAAAACACTAATCTGTATGCGGTTATTAAATTTACGCGCACCATTATATTTATATAAATAAGACAAAATAATAATTAGAATTTTTTAAATAAAAACTGTAACAGTGGCTATATTTTCTTTGACTTCGTTTTAAGAATAAAAACAAATTAATTTTGTTTGCATTTGGAACAAATGATCATGTTTCCGTAAACATAACACGAGCGTATTTTTTAAAAGGATAAATATATTAGTTTAGATAAAAATTTATCTATATATTAACCATTTAATATTTTATTTATAAGCTTATCACAGAAACTCCTTTTTTAACCTTTTTTCACGTTTTTTCTACACATATCTAATCTTGTATATCAAAACTTATATTTTCATTTTCATCCAAAATTAGATATTCCCATTGCAAACTCGTATTGTTAATTTAAACTTATAAATCTTTTATTTAATTACACAATAAATACTGATATTTAAAAAAAAAATTTTTATACTGTTATTAACAGCAATTTATTATAGATTAATAACGGTCAATATCACAGATGCCGTACATTTTGGTTCAAGGCAATCTTTCATCTTACACTGATACATATCCTTGGAAAGTACTTGTTTCTGGTTTAAAAGGTATTGTGTATCAGTTTACTGTAGCTTTAATTTTATAACATTTGTAGAAATCTTTTCATTAAATTTAATTGCTATTTTTTGTATAACTTTTTTTGAACTATGATTGATTAATATTTAATAATTATTTGAATAATTATTAATATAGCAACAGACATAGAACAATTAAATCGCTTTACATATGGAGGATATTGCGATGATTCAACAATTGTATATTTACAACATCCTTGCGTTATTTTAACAGCCCTTGAAGTTTTGGGATATAAAGTTGTTGCATCTTCCAGTACTAGCGTTAAAAAAGATTATAATGAATATATGTGGACTATGAGAAAAGATTTTTCAGAACCAGAACCTGATGCTGTAATTAAAGCAGGTGAGTAATTGTTTGTAATATTTCCTGTTAATTATGTTTTTTACTAAATGGTATATGTTTGCAGAAATATATATTTCAATAAATTTTTAATAGTATATATATTATTAGGGTAGGAGTAGCGCGTTTGTACTTAAGATGATCATAAAGATATTGAATTAATAGTTATCATCTAATAGAAAAGTATGGTTAAATATAGTAATATATTCATATCTATACTTTATGTTTATCTTCATTTATTTAATTTGTAAATTAAAAGTAAATCTAATATAATATTAAACTTTATATTAAATGTATATTAATGAGAAAAATTATACATAAAATTAAATATATATTAAAAATAAGTATTTTTTTATAATATACAGAAATACTGTTATATAGATATGGAAAGTATAATGGCAAACTAATAAATATTCTATCTTGATGTGTCAAATATATTAAATTAAAAAAATATTTGAATTATAATTTACAAATTATTAGCCCCAGTTCCTATTACTCACAATACATAAAAAGAAAATGGTTTAAACTGAATAATAAGTATCGCTTTTAATATGCTACTTGTTATTAATGATAATTATTAACTTATAGTTAGTTGCTCATGATAATAACAGTAGAATAATAATTAATTTGTGCATAATAAGAGTTATGATGATATTCCAAAAGAAATAATGTAATTTAGTAATGTAAGCAATACTGTGATGATTTTGATTAAATACAATTTTAATTATAAAACACAAAAGCATATTGTGTTTTTTGGAAACAGTCATATTTTGTAATTGTGACTGCAGGACAATAATCAGAATTTGATAAAATATATAATATGTATGGTGTATTTTATTTGGTAAGCAATAATTAGCTATAATTGGCAGCACTATACTTTGAACATGGTGAGCTGATCTGCTTGTAATTAGTATTAATACAATTATTTTTTCCGGATTTCATGTTATTTTTGACAAAAATACAATAGAATGATTCGTGCTAGTTCATTATAATGAGAACTGATTTATGTTTTACTGGTGTATTTCCTTTTATGATACTACATTAAAATGTTATGTTTTTATTTATATAAATTGTAATTTAAAATCCTATTAGTTAAAAAAACTAATAAAGTATTGTATATTTATTATATTAAATTATATTTGTTCTAAATTATTTATTTTAGAACTCAAAAATAATGAGGTCTGAATGAAAGAATGCAGTAAAATAGAAATTAAAATGTCTATAAAGTCAACAGAAATATTTGGAAATGAAAGTTATTACTATATTGCTATAAAGGGTTCACCCTTTGCAATGGATTGCATTGCATTTGGATTAACAGATAACGAAAATCTGGCAATTTCCAAGAGATTTTCTTATACAGAAAAAAATCTTGTAAATGGTGTTTTAATCAATGGTTAGTATTTTATTAATTATACAAATTTTATAAAAATAATATATATACATAGTCCTTTGTATATCGTTAAATGTACAAATTAAATGTTCAAAATGAAATAAATGTAATATTTTATATTTTATAAAAACTATATTAATTAAAAGATTTTGATATTTACGTTATTATAAAGTTCATTTTTTTGTTTTAATTTCGATATTATAAATTTGTACAGTATAATAAATATACTAAGAACCTTTCTTAATAGCATTCTGTTTATTTATAATTGATATATAAAATGGTAATAATTTAATAATTATAGGACCACCGCTTAGTGTTATAAACGCTCTTTCTGAATTGGGTTACAGAGTTATTTGCAGTACTGGTGATACAGAAATTTTATGGACTCTTCAAAGAGAAACTTAAAATATTTTGATTAATATTTTGTTTTAGGGAATGGTAAAACAAATATCAGAGTATTATAATGAAAGATATTTTATTATTACACGATATATGAGAATAATGATGATTATAAGTTTTAGAAAAAACATACTTTATTTTCAATTTATTATTATATAATATATAATTGCACTGATAAACATATTTTTATAATAAATATCTGATAATGAATTTATGTTTTTATTTTATAAAAATAAAATAGAACTTTTATTTTTAATATGACAACATCTAATACTTAAGATAGTGAAAATAAAAAGATTATACTGAATATTTTTTATAATTTTAAATGTTTTAAAAAATAATTTATCTCAGAATATACTTATAATAAAAACTTGAAAGAATAATCTAAAGGAAATTAATTAAAGTAAAGATTACTATATTACCTATATGCATAAATAAAAGTCAAAATATAATAAATTAAGGGCAATATATATTTGTGTAATAATAATTACATTTCATAAAAATATTTAAAGCATATAATTTTGAGGTTATCACAAAATATATAATATAATAAATATAATGTATAAATTAAACTTATATTTTAAATATACGTATAAGACTTTTATAGATTCTTCCATTTGTCATTAGTTTACTAGTTATTAATATATTAAAAAGTGATCTTATGTCAATAAATTTTATGCTAATATTTGAATTCAGTTATTTTGTTAATTATTAATTTTGTACTATTAAATCGTTGATAAATCTTACAGAAATTGTAAATAGTTGTGCGCCTATAACATTTGTAGTTAATTATTATAAAAATATAAAGATTATTAATGCAAATTTTTTTATTTTTATCTTTTCTTACAATATAAAGTCAAAGGAATAAATGAAGATTAATGAATTTCAGATAGTTCGTTATGGAATCAACTACCCATGTCCACCATAACAGCTCATGCTGTAGCTATAATTTGGGAAATACATTTAGGCAATCTTTATCAGAATTAGATTTTGAACGTGGTATATGGTATGCAGGTACATATTACAATTTTAATACAAATAATTCGATATATTTAAATTCATATTTTGAAAAATATAATATAAAATACTACTTATAAATTAAATATAATTAATGTTCTTTCATTGAATATTATATTACAGCTCAGTATAATGATCTAGACAGAGTAAGATATCTTTTAAACAAGGGTATATCTCCAAATGTAGAAGATAATGCAGGATACACTGCTTTACATTATGCAGTTCGTAATGGTCATGATGAAATATGTAATGAACTTTTGAAACGAGGAGCTAATGTCAATGCAGTCACTAGATCAGGAAGAGCAACACCTCTACATAGAGCAGCAACTCAAAAATATATTCATATAGTAGAGTTATTATTGAATGCTAATGCAGATACAAATATGCAGGATGTAGATGGTTTTACTGCATTGCATAGGGCATTGATAGCAAATTGTGATCAAATTTCCAGGATGTTAATTCCCAAAACAAGAATGGATTTAATAGATAAATTTAATTATACTGTAAAGGATTTATCAGAAAAAATTGGCAAACAAGATTTATTTTTTTAAATTAAAACTTGAAAATTTGAACTTAAAACTACAATTAGTATATTTTTATTATTTAAATTTTATTTTGTTTCTACAATATAAAAGATTTTTAATATCATGCTTTTGCTTATATTAATATAAATAGCCTTATATTGTACCAAATACTGTAATTTATTTTTAAGTAATATTTTTTTAAAAATTAACTTTTTTTCATATTATATAAGTTTAATAATTTCAGTAACAAAAAGAAAATGAATATAAATTTTGATTAAAAAAAATATTGACATAATTTATGCTTTCTTGTTTTAATACTTACAGTATGTGAGTCAAGGATAAAAATCATAATTTATGATGCACATAATAAAGATTAAGTATTATAAACAGATTTAAAAAATGAACCAAGATGTATTGATCCCTAAATACTTCTTTTTCTTAAAATATAAATTAAAAAAAATGTATGCTGACTGGCATTGAACTGGGACATATAACTTTTATATTATTCGTGATCAAATTACTAAACAAGTCAAAAGGAATCTTGATCGAGCAAACTTAATAGATACCATATAACCTTTGCTTCATTTCACTTGCGTTTAATAACAAATAAAGTTGCGTCAGCCATATTGACGACTTGTGCTCTTGATATTCTTTTACTAGTGTGACATGAGAGGTATTCTATAAAAATTTATAAAATTTTATTTACATTTAGTGTTTATCAGATTGAGGGAAATGGCGGGCAACAAATTGAAATCGAAGTCGTTTTCATAAACTCCCAGTCCTCAATTCGCTTGTCGTGACTCCCAACCTCGCCATGAGAAATACAAATGCATTCGCTCACTTCTACTCGGTGCTGCCCCCTAACGTAGACAATTCTTCGTGGCATCGCGGTACGCGTCGACACACAACTCGTAACTCACATCGCAAATCAGGTCGCAAACCACATCAGTGGCCCACTACGATATCTGATTGTGTCCACGCGTACCACAGGTACTGGTATGGCCCGACATGCACACATAACTTCCTGTTGGACATCTGATCACTCAAAGAAGACCTACATGAATCCTATACGTAGTATACAAGTTACGGTAATACCGGCCATATATCGATGGTGTACGATCGAACGCGTGTGACGTCGTTGATAAAGTGTACACCGAATCGTATCAATTAAAAGTGTCTTGCCGTAATTATTGACTAGCCTAGTAAACAATAGAAATAAAAAAAATGCAGCATTGAATAAAATAAAAGGTAAAGTTAGTAATAACACTGTTTAACAGTAATAGCATTAATAATAATCTAGTGCTAGTATGTAAACTGAGTATCTTGTGTTACTGTGGTATATATGCGCATCTACATCTGTTCAAATTGTATCTCCTTTCAATCTTTTTACTTGTCAAGGCTAATTTATACGATTAAATATTGTTCATAAATGTATGCAAGTATAATACTACAATGAGAGCTTCATAATTGTCAAAGTGCATACGATACGTAACTGGTTTGTATGACGTCACACGGTTTTCAATCAAGTACACACAGCCGTATATAAGAGCGAAAAAGATACAGAAAGAGGAGTAAGGGAGAAGAGAATCGCCAAAGGCAGAATCGAGCGAGCGGGATGTGCGCCACGTAAAATCCCCGCGCGCATACGACGCTCCAACGACTGCGACGTAGATGTTAAGCAGAAGGGGAGAGAAGCAGAAAGTGGGGTCATCATAAAAGTAGCAATACACAACGTAATAATAAAATTAAGGTAAGAAAAATTGTACCTCGGCAATTTGTGCCACCTATTATTCCTTGTATTCGTATCTCTAGTGTTTTATGTTGTACATATTTATACAACAACAATTATTAATCGTATAATTTAGATATTCAAAGCACACTTGCTTAAATGCCACGAATGACTGCGTTTTTAAGATATCCTTGGGACTAGTGATTAATATTAATTGTAGCGAAAGATTATCGCTACATTTATCTTCTTCTATCAAAATTACTTAAAAACTAGTTATCTCCGTGAAAAACAGAAGGAAACAAAAGATATGATTATAAAAGAGCTAACTAAAAAAAATTCGAGATTTTGTTAAACATAACCTCAACTGTAACTTAATTGACAAAATGGTTTGAACGAAACATTCTTTTTGTTGTCGAAAAAAAATTATATTCAAAATATTATCACAGGATTTAGTATTATAAGGTTAGTGTTAGTCTGATTCAATTATGCTGCATTAAAATCAAATATTAAGTATCGAGGTTAATTTAAAAACTGTCGTTTTATCTAGACTAATCAACAACGACTAGCTCTCGCGTCGAGCATATTTGCCAGCCTCAAAGAAAGAAGCATTTCATACATGAAAGTTTGCTTATAATTTAGGCAGACTAACATACATAATATAGGAAAGGAACGAACATAACAAATATACACGTTATACTTAAAAATCTTTTATTTTATTTGTTTTTCCTACCATAGAACACAAACACCTTTTTTACACAAATGTGAATAGTAGTGTGTTTGTAGTTCATCTCAAAGTTACATTTAATTAAATTTTGTACATTTTTTTTGCAACAAATTTCAATTAACTAATTTTTTATTTGCAAAGTAATAAAACTTTGTTGTTTTCGGTTTTTTCATCTTGTTGATTGCAAAATCATCGAAGAGTATTGTTCTGTACCAGACTTCCATTATCATAACCTATAATTGCGTCATGCTTTCTCTCTTTTTTATTTTGCTCATTTTGCTGCTTCTCATCATTTTCGTTTAACATTACAATTGTAAAATAACTTATAATGAGATAATGATAATATAATTGTATGTTCGATTTTTTATGAAGTATGTATGAAATCTACTCATGTTTGTTAATGCCCATAACTGTCCGAACAACTTTATTAAACATGAATTAATCATTTACTTTCAAATGAATCTTCCAGTACTTTTAACATATTTTATTTTTACATTTATGAAGTTCAGTATGCGCTATTTTTAGTTGCAAAAAAATATGAACCACTTAAGTAAAATTACTATTAAAACTTCTTATAAAATATTAAATTAGATAGATTTTATTAAATTATTAACTAGTTTCGGCAGTGAAAAACGAGTTGCTTAAATTGTAAATTATATAAGTAGTATACCAAGCTATACATGATAAAAAAAATCAAGTAATCTTAATTAATCTAATTAAGTAAGAATATCATTTATAACGAAGCGTAGATGAAAAGTGAACGAAAAATTAAAGAATTTACTTCAGTAGAGTGCAAATGTTATAACATAGTGAAAGCGTTTCAACATTGTAAAATAAAAATACTTCTCATATTGTGAATTTTTCTTTCATCATACTTTTACTAGTCTTATATTTATATTTCCACCTTATTTTCTTGCGTCCTTTCGTCTTTCAATTTTCTTGATCTAGCTAACCACATTCGCGTACATAAAGTAAAGCGCTAAGTACAATAGGTATAAAGCAACATAAAAATATGATAGTTAACGCGCAATTATTTCTTTTTTACTTGCAGGTGTCGACGCGCTAATACTAGCAGCAGTAGCGACATCAACAACACAGTGAGAGCAGCCACGAAACGAAGCAATCAGCGACAACGGCCAATCAATGTCGCAACGTGATTTAGACGATAGTAGAGTGCGTGTGTGCATTTGAAAGAAAGACAAAAGAGTGGCGACCACATGAGTTCCTTATCAAAAACCTTCTCTCAAAAATAATGTAGTGCTTTTTTCCATGCGATGACGCAAATTTTAGCCATAATGTTTTTGCAGACGTTAATGAAGAAAAAAACAACTGCCATTTCGGAAGCTGATACAAAATAAAATTTTGCTTCATTTCATCGAATTAGAAAGAAAAATGTAATGTGATTGGTGGACACATAAAATAATAAACAATTTCAAGAGAAGGAATCGACAAATTACAGCATAAGCAGAAGCAGAAGGAAAAGTTTGTTTTCAATTGTCTTCAGATTTGGTAGTAACAAAAACTTACTGTGATATTTCAGATACAGAAATCTATGTGAGCTTTATACAATTTTAAGTGAAAATCTGTACGAGGAATAAATATTACATGTCAAATCTTAGTTTATTACTTTTTTGTGCTTACTTTTCTTTATTTTTCTTGTGTCTTTTCGCCGTTAGTTCTTCATTGTGTTTGTTCATGAAGTGATTGATATGTTTTTCCTTATCTTTTTCATATTTTGTTATTTATTGTAATTGTCATATGTATTCAAGTCTTTCATTTGCTAAGTGACGTTTGCAGTTAGTGTCAGTGGTGTTTTATTCCTTCTTAAAAACGTGTTTATAACCAAGAGAGAGTGAGAGGGGGGTGTGGAAGAAAGATGAAGATGAGAGAGATTGAATGTAAGAATACATGAAGGATATTATTTATTTAATTCTAAAAGTGTTGAATATAACAAAAGTAGTGACAGTGTTTTATTCATTTCTGTGGTTCACAACTTACTTTGGTGTTCCACTACTACTACCGGCATTATCACCATTGTTACTACCAAATAGAATCAAAGAAATAGGAAATATTGAAGAAGAAAAATTTTTTTTAAAAAAATTTTGAAGGAGTGAGAGCGTTTTCAAAGTGAGCATCAGTGTGTGCTCTTGCATCATTTTCTTGCAAACTCTGCTTTTATTACAACGGATCATCTTCAGCAATTCCTCACCGTGCCTATCCTCGATGAGAGGAGGCACATGTCCATTGTTGCCACCGAAAATGCAGGGTGAGTCACCTTAACAGATCATTATTATTCATTTTTTACATTTTTCTTAGAAGTCAGCAGATTTTCTGTGCTTATACATTTTATTTTTTCACCTTTTGGTGACATTTTGTTCTGTCTCTCTGATCGCGGCCGCATATTGATTTTGTGAGTTCGTTTCGATATATAACCCAGTCCAGAAAACAAAAGACATGGATTTACAAAAAATACTAAAAGTACAGCTAATATCTGGATGTGATTAGTTAGTAAATAAAAAGAAAAACTAAAATTTTAACTCATACTAATTGAAACATCATTAGATTAAACCTTGATTACACGCTGTTTTAAGACTTTATTCGGTGGCCTAAAAGCCTTATTCTTTTCTCCCTTTCTCACTTTGAGCCTTTTACACGATGTGTAAATATTCGTATCCATTATTCAGAGAATGTAATTAATTGTGTTATTTTTCTAAATTTTTCTTATTATATAAAAGTTATATATGTAAAATTAGAAGCATACAAAAAAAACTATAAAATTCGCATGTAATCAAAAATTTTGCTTACCGTTTATTTGAAAAATAAAAAAAAGTATCGATTATTTTTAATGAAACGATGATCTTACCTCGTATTATTCAATGATGAACATTTCAATGAAAATGGATGACATTCTTTAAAGATATATTTAGCTATAAAAGAAGTTTGAAAATGTATCATATATAGGGTATAAATATATCATTTAGATTCATAAAGTAATCCTATCAAATAAATATTAAAAAATAGTAACCAATTGATTAGTATATAAATTCAATGTGACATCAGCTGATATTTCATTTATTATCGTTATTGGTATAGAAAACAATATGGGTCATGAACGAATGATTGTTGTTTTCGTTTTATCGTTCATAATTCGAAGTTTACAAGTCATGTTTCAACGCGTACAGTAGTTTTGAATTTTTGTTTATCAAATAAATTACTTCGTATATAATGATAAAGCTTAAAGTATTATTAATCATTAATGTTTTCGGATATTAAAAACGTGCGCATTTAAAACATTTATCTTACTTAATTATATATTCATAGTCACTGAAAAATATTAAATAACTAATTATGTAATTTTGTATTTGTGTAAATATAGAATATATTTCATTAGCATGATTAAAATGAATTAGTAATATCCATAATATTGTCACTATTGTTACATATACAATATAATATGTATTTATAAGCATTTATAAGTGTATAATTTTTTTATTGTATTTTTTTATTAATTTTTTTATTGTATTTTTTTATTAATTTCTTTATTGTATTTTTTTATTAATTTTTTTATTGTATAAAATTACATGTATAATTTTTTATATAGCACATTTTGCAAGTTTTTATAACACGTTATGCTTTAGGGAAAATAAAGAATTACAAATGTATACATCCAAATGATTCACTGGAATAATTATAAAAAGTAGAGTAGGTGTTTTCTTTAATTAAAGAATACTTCATACATATATTACTCCGAAGCCAATAGTGAATAGTATTTACGCCTTTGCTTTTTTTCAACAGATGAAAGATAAAGAAAGTGTATTTATGTACATATGAACCTTTGCCATCGTAATTCAAGGTAATAACGGTAATTAATTTGTTCAGTATTTATTTATCACTACCAACATCTAATACCATTTTCACTTAATCTCTGTACGGTTCTAGTATACTAATTTTTATAATGACTTTCACAATTGCTTTATTATCTAAATATTTTACATAGCCTTTTCAATGCTTAACAAACGTGAGTAAATAACATAACTAATCATTAAAATTATAATCCATTTATATAGTTACGTGACTTGTATCATCAAACAAAAAGCATTTTCACGAGATTTTAACGAACTATAGGCACATGTTTTTACCCTATTTACGTTAACTTTAGCATGCACAATCATTATTCATATTTTTGTCAATACATATCACATCACTGATCAAATATTTTTATGAATTCAAATTTAAGGTTTAATCCACATCCGGTATCATAATTTTCTGTTTATAATAGTAAGTTTTGAAAGCCTTTGTTAATTGAAAAATTTTAATATTTTAACAAACCTAGTCTTACTAACAACATTTTTGAGATTACTATTGATACGTCATATTGAAAAAAAAGAAAGAAAGGAAGGAAGCGAAAATAAAGTTTTATTCATTGAATTTTTAAATATTTGTTGCTACAGTAACTACCAGATACAAATTTATGAAAAACGAAAATTAATATGCTTGATATAATAATTTAACTTCTGATCTCTTTTATTTATCCTTAAAGTACTGACAGGTTTCTAAATATGGAAAACAATTGTATTGTATGCCGAGCCATATCATAATTCTTATGAAGCAACTCCCGATTGCGTAGCTTTATGACGTCGAAGTGGCTTCATGGCACAGTTTTCCTCCGCCATTGTCGAGTTGATCGCACTTATCTTGTAACTCTTTACAAAATTTATATTTTACTCTATATTACTTTAATTATCATTGCTACTGCTTCTATTTTGGCGAAAAATGTCTTCTAATGCAGTTGAGATAAAAATCTTATTATATACAATGATCTAAGCATCTTCTGTATTCCATTCTTATATATCGTTCATGTTTTTCTAGAGTTAGAATCGCTTTTATTAAAGGATTGATAAATGCGTAATCTTAAATTTGTTTCAACGATAAACTTTTATTCTTATAATAAAGCGTTTTAATGCCAAGATGTTCTACTGAACTACATTAACTCCCACCTTTCCATTTGCTACTACTTTTGAAATTTTTGCATATTTTTTAAGACAAAAGTTTTGATCCGAGATGTAATAATTGTATCAATATTGCAATACAAGTATATTTTTATTTTTTATATTTTAAGTTACATTGAAGTATATAAATTATTTTTTCTTAAACGCGCATGCGTATTCATTATTGATTTAGGTGATTTGTTATTAAATTTAAATTTATTAACTACAATTTAAATTATTATTATACATCCAAGGCAATTACTTTCACATTGTTATTTATATTAATTTATTATTTTGAAATAAAAAATTTTTATTGCTTTCTATTACTCGAATTATAAATATTTTTTTTTGACAAGATTAAGTTTATTATTACAGATAATGATATAATGATTTTTAAGTGATAGTTGTATATCTTAAATCACTATCTTTATTTTTAATTTAGTATTTAATGATTTAAAATTGTTAAAATTCAGTAATTTTAAAAGAATGTTTTTATCAAATAGTATATAAGTAAATCAATAAAATTATTCATTGGCATATATATGGCAAAATTATTGGTTATGGCATTGATATGGCATGCTAATTGGTTTAATTAAATAATGATTATGTTAATATTACTTAATGATTTAGAAGTCAAATTATTATAAATAATATTGAATTTTCATAGACTCTATCTTACAAAATTGAATATGACGTAAAGAAATACTGGTTAAGTCGAACAATTTCAATTTAAAATTATATTTTCTTATTTTACAAGTAGATAAAAGTAAATGTATTATTAACACTCATAAGTATTATTCAATATTTAATTAATATTTACATTATAACATATTTCTTATCCTTTAAACTCAATTAATTCGGTAAATTTTAATTGCATTTGACTTGCAAACATGTCTCTTCTGAATATTTATCGGATGGTAAAATTTAAGCAAGACAATTTATGTTTTTCAGAATTTAGAAAATTGACAGTATACACTGTTGTTAGAATAATAACTTTCTACTTACTTAATTTCTTGACTGTCTATGTTGAACGCGATTGCGTAGGTAGGATTACAAATAGATGAAACACATAATTACAGAACCATAAATAAAACCCATGTGCAAGCGAAGCTTTATATTTCATTATGAAAGAAAGATTCGATTGCTATATTTTATTGAATAACGTATAAATTTTAAGCATTTATATATTTTAATAACAGAGCATTTATTTAAATGATTACATATATGATTTAAGGAACAAGTACTTTTGTTATATTGTATAATCCTCGTCGGTACAATAAAATATTTTTTTAATCATATGAATTAATGAAATATTTATCTAATTAAATAATTGTTTATAAATTTTGATTTTAATAATGAAGTCAGATGTAACGTATTTTTATCTTTATCCTTTATCAATGAGCACTAAAAGTCAGCTTTTATATTTTATCAATTTTTATCAACTTTTCAAATTTTTATATCAATAATACAGTAGAACATTCATTAATATTTATCGTGAAAATATCGCCCGTATAGCACACTTATAAAATAAACTAAAGGAATATTTTTTACAGTGAAAATGTTAATCGTATATAAATTTATAAAATAAAGCAAATTAATATTATCTAAGATAAGTAATTATAAAATACTTGTTAAAAATTATCGTAACCATTAGCGACATTTTTTATGATTTTTGTTTTTCCATATATAATTAAATTTTCACTGAGAAACTGAGATAAATAATAAATAATACTCTTATCGTTGTTGATTTGTTGAGAAAAAATAATAATCATAAATAATAGAATACACCGAATGGGGGGAATGAAAATATCGTTGAAAGTTTTCTTGCAACTGCTGCGCATGCCTTCTCTTCACCTTTCACATTCATCTAAACAAATGACCAAATGTTCATGCGCACGAGCATGATTGTAAAAAATATCGATTTTATGAAGTACTATTTTTCTTAGTTGGGGTTTGCTTATTATTGTTTACAATTATTCTTTGAAGTTATTTAATACTAAAGTTGAACTTACTAAATATAGTTTCTCAAATAATCCTTTTTCTAAAAAACTAAATATCATCAAACTAAATATCATCTTAATTATATAAAGATAAAATTAACATAATTTAAAAATTTTTTTGACTTTCTACTATTTAGTTGCACTGAAATTGTTGATATATTCTTTCAGTAGGCTCCGATTCATTATTTCTGTTAAGTTCATATACTTTAATTAGTCAATCAAACGCTCTAGTTTATATTCATTTAATTTTTATTCTAATTTATTACTCTATTATATAT